GCCATGTTTCCGACGAAAAAATGATTTTACACAGCTCATTTCATATGTTTAAGTCAATCTAGCCAGACCGGTGACTGTTGGAATCGCTGACTCATTCAAATCCAATTGAGCCGGGCCAGAGCATCTATGTTTAGGGGCTAATCTTCACGATAGTCCTAACCTTGCGTTCTGATTGGGGTTCGGTCACCAAAACGCTGCAAACTTCGACATAAAACTAGTTCTTTCCTGCACAGGGGCAGTGAATTCTTGATGTATAGCAGTTTTGACAAACATACTTCCGTAGAGCGTTTACATTGTGTTTTAACATAAAGCGGGTGACTTTTCGCCAGCCGGGTGACTTTTGACTAATGCTGCGTTTCCATGCGGCCGGGTGACTTTCTGCAAACCCGGGTGACTAAACCCCAGCGCTAGTAACAAGGAAGATTGAAATCTAGAGAAAACTTCATGGTTTGGCTGAAATGGAACTTCCTGGTTGGTTGCTTCGAGCATGTTGTAAACGTGCAACACTTGCTTGTAAGTCAAATTCCTGATATTCTGATAGGTGTCTAGCTTTACTTCCGCGTGGATTCTGGGGAGTGTAGATGCACATACACAAAAAATAGAATATCTAGAATAGCATAAAGGATAATTATATAGAAAATTTGTCAATGTTGAAATAAACAAACATTTAAAGAATAACGATAAACAAACAAATAAAAGCCAAAATAACACTAACTAAGTCAAATTAGAATAAGAACTAAACAATTAGATGTTAAAATAACTCAAAGTATACTGGTTTGGTTTGACTTCTTTGTTTGTGGTTTGCCCCTGTGTCTCTGTGTTTATTCCCTCAATGGGAACCGGTGACCTGTTGCACCGGTCGAAATTTGGTTTCGTTTGCTCATTCCTCTGGGGGACCGGAGGACCTTTTCAGACTCTTGGCGCTCTTCCCCGGAGAGACACCGGGGCCGCGCCCGGAGTGGTCGAGAGGGGTTCTTCAAGGAAACCTTTTTGTCTTCTCCGGTAAGGGCATAGACGGAGACACAGGCGCAAACCACAAAGAAGTCAAACAAAGAAGTAAAGTCTTCCAGCTATTCACATTGGCTCACCACAGTTCCAGTGTTTAAACAATGTGTATATAGATACATACTCTCTCCAGACATTACCAACAAGCGAAGAAGCTCTCAAAGCCCTCAAGTGCATTGACGCAAACACCTAGGTAAGCGTCCTTCTTTCATAGAGTGTTTTCAGTACGCTGACAAGCGAGGAAGTTCAAACAATACCAACTAAGGAGGAATAAGTGTTTCTTGACCAGAAAGAATGACATGCAAACGCTCCATCAATTTGTTTAATTGACAGTTGGTTGAAAAACTGTTTCCTCGTATGTTTTGGAGAGAGTAGATTTGAATCCTACAACTGAATGAGGCTATACAATGCGTTGATGTTGATGATTTTGGTGATAAAACATGAGGTGATATGATATGATGAATTTACAGTATGTGATGTTATGAAATGTTATGAGTGGTATGAACAGATGATATGAATTCCTACAAACTCTATTTTAGATAAATTTTTGGGTAGCCCCGAAGATGTGGAAGCAAAACCATATGATCATGTTTCCCGGTAATTTCCGGAGCAAGGCCCGGTGTTCAAAGCCTTTTTTCCTTCCCTAGTGAACAGGACCAAGGTGAATTTGCACAGACTCACTTAGCCAGCATTTGGCTCCAGGGTGCCAAAAACTCTGCACAACACGCACTGTGTGACGCTTTGTTGACAAAAGGCAGCCAAACTCGCCGGAATGGACACTGATATACATAGCTTTTCAGGAACATTGCAAACTGTGGTAATCTGAGGCCCCAGTTCTGTGTTGAAGCTTTCTTTTTAGCTGTGCTTGGTTGGATGTTCATTGATTTATACGAAAAGGAAGAAGGGATCGGAGGGGATCGTGGGATCGAAGCAAACAAAACAAGGAAGCTTTTTTGCTGACAAGTTGTCGTTCAACATTGCGACATATAGGGTTCCTAGGCCCAACAATCTCAGTCTTTCAGGGGACAGCTTTGGCAACTCCTGTGGAAGACAGGCAAAGGCATTCGCTACTCGGTGCAACATTGTATTTTTAAAAACATGAAACAGCCATGCTGGCATGTTGTTCTTGCTGCTGTTCCTTTTGTCAATGTTTACTGTTGTTAAGCACACACACACACTCAAGGCTACAGTGCCCAAGCTGGCAAAGACGGCGGCTTGAATAAGACCGGAAGATTTCAAACACCGTTGAAAGATGGCTGGGGGCGCCTAGCTTAAAATTCTCAAAGCTGCAAGGCACACGTTCTAATCACTTTGTTTGCCCAAGTCTCGTACCAATCTGGAAACTCTAAGGATAGAATTTGACGGGGAGCACATGCTCGTGACAGAAGCTGGGCAGAATTGGGAGATGGGGCAATCACCCAGCGGATTTGCCATCAGGGTACCCTTGAACGATTCCCAAGGAAGCTTTGGTCATTACTAATTAGAAAGCTTTACTTGGAAGCTTCAAAGACCTAAAAAGCTTTATTGTTACTACAGGTGAAACGATTCCCAGTGAAACGATTCCCAAGGAAGCTTGTGACTGTATGACCCCGTCCATCCATCCCATCCATGCGAAATCGTCGCATCACATCCCCACTACCCTGCGATATCTTGGTGGTCTTCAGGTCAAGGTTGAGGTCCATGGGCACCTGCAGCATGTCATTTAAGCCAAGCAGTTTAGTTTTGACCAGGGAAGTGGGCACACTCAGGACTCAGGTTTAGGACGGAAGAACCCACCACAGATTCTGCTTGTTACGCGTCTTCAAGCCTTTCAGGCCCCACCTTAGGCCTCCGATTCGTACTTGCGCACGCTTGCGCAGCCGCAAAACCAAGAGTAGGAGAGCACACTTGAGGGCACCTAAACGTCTTTACACGTTGCGTCCACAGAAGGTGACAGGGCCGTGGCCACACAGGCTGCGAGCAAAGTCTGTGCGGGCTTGATGGGCCCGTTTCAAAGCTCAAAAGTTTGCCTACATGTTTTGGCAACTATCATCCAAATTTTGTGGCATCCTGACTCTAAAATCTAAATTGCATCTAATTGCAAATGTCATGGTACTGTAGCCGCTGTAGCCCTTAAAGCCTTAAAGCACCAAAGAATCTTTGTGGTGAAGAGGTTGGAGGGGCAAAGGACGGTCGCTGCACAGAGCTTGTGACCACGGTTTTGGTGCAGGAGGTGACCGGAAGAGCCCTAGGTTGAGCAGGTTAGTTCTTTGTTTAGCGCCCACGTGCGTTATCATGTACACCTGTAATTCTGCTTATTCTTCTTTTGTTGATAATTACAAAACTATACTATATATCTATATAATAACTGTAAGCCTGTGGAGAACTGTGCTGTGCGCAACACTGTGCAAAGTATTGCTGTCTTTCTGAATTGATGATGAGATGCCGCCGAAAATGTCTACTGTGTTTGCACGGGTCGGCAAACCGACCTTCCGCATCCATGAACCCAAATTGACGAACTCCAAAACCCATCCCGTTCATCACTTCAGTCAGCTTTGTCCAATACTAATTCACCACACACGTGATGCAAGTACATTGGGGAAACTCGTCTATACTTTTTATTCAGTGGCTGCGACAACTGAGAATCAATGTATGAGCCAAAAAGGTTTGGAAGGGGGTTGGAACCAGCTGGCCTATTTGTACACAATACCACACACTCTCAAAGAACTCTTGGAAAAACATCTCAATGGGCCCTCCCAAGCGTTTCTGCATATTTCTCCGTGGGTGTTGCCAGTTCCATCGAATTGTGGGGGTGTTATGCACACTTTACTTTGTTGAACGTGTTTTTGGCAGCAAGCACGACAGGACACATTACGGCAGTAGCAGTTCCCAGTACTGTTGTCCGGTTTTCAGTCACCTGTGCGCAGTGCAAGGACAGTGGCCATGACATATTTTTTCTCGATCCAGATGACTTCCACTTGAAGAAAAAGGCATGGGTCCAAAGTCCAAAGGTTTCAAAAAATATCAATTGCAAGAGAACGTGTGTTTTGTGTTAAACTCATGAGGTGAGTGTGACAGATGGCGGACGTTTTATTGAAATGATCAACGAAATGGAGATTATAGGCCGGGTACAGTTTCCTTGTGCATTTTGACAGGTTGGTGAGTTTGCCTGAGGTGACGAATTGTGGGCTAACGTATATGGCACGGACTGCTTGGCCCGCATTGACAAGACATCGGGCTTTGTTACTGGTTGGGTGCTTCTGGACGGTATTCTGGACAGACGAAGCTTCATGCCCGCACTTTAATCATGATTCTCGTGTCAAAACCAACACGTTGGAAAATTGATGAACATGTGGAAGTGATTGTACGCGTATGTGTGATTGTCATGGCTGCGGGACTAGGTGCAGCTGCAGAAGCGCAAGCTGCTGGCAGGGAAGCGCCAGATGTTCTTAATGGCATTGCATGGGATCCTGACGGAGACCGTATTTTCGTTGAGACCTCAGACAAATGTGTATGCAATTTCTTCCTTTACATATACACTACATGCGCTCTTAGGTCACCGGCAAACTTTGGCCAAAACTCTACGAAATTCGCATTGAGCCAACCAAGCAGATCTCGCTTGAGAGAGCGCGTAGAATGTGCATACCCAAGATCAACATATTTCGTCTGCAATAATTGTTGCAGGGTACTACTGTAGAACCGCGAAGCCCAATGCCTCCATGATGCACACGCTGTCACACGCACGCAATGAGAGGAAAAAATGCAATTGTTTGTTCCAGACATTTGGAGAAATCCTTTCTGAAGAATGGTCGCCGTTTGGCCCGGCGATGATGTTTAACACAACTGCATACGTTGCAAAAATATCTTCAGAAACACTCCTGTATCCTAAAGCCATACGTGGTCTATGTTTGCAGTAATGTGTTTGCTACTGAGTTGCACCATGTTCCACCATCTCTCTACAATTACAGGTTTGTTGTAGCTCTTGTAGGGTGCAAGTTTGGCCCGGCTGTTTCGAGGAGCTGCCGGCGTTGGTCGCTTTATCCTGGCACTTTGCAAAGCAGGCCATGTGTTGTCGAGAAGATCGTATGACACGACGCGGTTTTTTGGAAGAGCACCGAAGAGTATGGTCTTTCTAATTTCTATCGAGGCAAGCAAGCACTGCGAAGCAATTGGGCGAGAGGCTTTCAGGAGGTCAACTGAATTGAGTCCAAAAGTGACTTGGCCAAGCTGGCGAAGTCTGGGTGATGTTGAGTGCTTCCAGCGCCGATGCAACACTTCTCTAAGGCTGTTTCACAGCTTTCTTGGAGTTTGGCTTCCTGCCGGATTCAGGCCTGGTATGAATGTGTGTCTAAGGCATTCCTTCTTAATTGTGGTTTTGACAATAATGTGTCGCTTCTTAGACCGGTATATACCTTTTGTCCATGCGAAGCTACATTGCCTCAAGAGAGTGGACGCCTTCATACCCGCTCCAACACGCAAGTGGAGAGTGGCACCTCTCCATTCTTAGGCAATCAATGTGCGGGAATAAAGAGCAATGCTCAATGGAAAGTTGGAGAGTATTCACATCCACTGGCCATTGCTAGATCCATAGAAACTGCTTTCTATCCCGGAAAAGGGGCACAGCATTTTACCGCACCCGTCACCCATGATTAGGGGTTGGAAGAAATTTGAAACTCCTGAGACCTGGTTGTTGCAGTTAAGCACATTTTCCTTGACAGGAAGAAGCTCATGTCCAAGCAACGCTATACAGGATGTCCACTAGGAAAGGAAGGAGCAACACAGCTTTGTAATCAAACATTTCCTCTCTGACGCGGACTTCGGCAGCTACAGCATTTGCCCCATTGAGTCTGAACCAAAAGGGGCAGCATCCACTGAAGTTTGCTGAACGCTGAACACTCGAGGTCCCCATCGACCAAACATTACCAAACAAGGTTTAAAGACAATCACATCGCTGCTGCATTCCTGCTGCTTCTGCTGCTGCTGCTGCTGCTCCTGCTGCTCGGTGTGAGACGGCCGCTCGGGTCCAAAACATTCTGAAGATTTCTGAAGTGCAGTTGGGTGCACAGATTGAATGTCAGGAGATACAGAAAACTCCAACAGTGTCATCAATCGTTTGCAGATTGCCCCCACTCTGCTGATGCTGTCTTTGGATGTAGCACGTGACTGCACTTTCAGTGCTGTGGCAGTGAAGCAAGACTGTTGGCCCCAGTTTTGCATTCGCTGCAAGAGCTGCCAGGATTCACTGCTCATTCATGACGTGGCCTTGTCCATTGAATTTCATGCAGCTCGCCCGAATCTCGGTATCCCTTGCGGCCTCGGGTCCCTTGCCTTCCCCAAAATGGCCTGAGACGCCAGGCTTCGAGGCAAGAGATTTGGCAACGGTTACATGGGCGGTAGCAACACTGCTTGTACGGCCCTCAACTGCTTCCAAGAAAGAAAGGATGTCGTGTGTCGGCGCCTTCGTTTGCATTTACTGTAACAGTTAAGCAATGCTTTCAAAGCTTGGTTGACTGTGGGTTTGTTGATCAAGTTTGAATGCCGTGAATTCTTCCTTTGCAGTGGATTGATTGGAAATTGCGCCTTCGGCAAGCGCAGCCTGTTCGGATGTCGTTCCTGATTGCAAGAGGAAGCTATCCGGTAGCCTTTGCGATTTGATCTCTAAAAGTATGATCGAATAAGACTGGCGCCGTGGCCAAAGCCAATCGCAGCGATTATACTTAGTACTACCACTACTGCTACTACCACTACCACTACCACTACCAATACGACTACTACTACTACTACGACGACGACTACCACTACCACTACCACTACCACTACCACTACCACTACCACTAC